ACACGGGGGAAGTCCAGACCTGTCCCAGCCAAAGTGGAGACACAGAACACAGAGCCTTGATACAGTTATGCAGGGATCTCAGAAGTGACCCACCCTTTTCCCCTCTGGCCTTTCTCTTCTTAAACTTTTTTCTCCCCTAAAAATGCACTCAGTAGGCAGATGTGACACAGGCACTCAACACCTTGATGTAGAACAATACCAAAGGGACCCTGCATATAGCAAAGTTTGTATACTATTAGTTTAGTATATATTAGTATAGTATCTACTAAAAATAGTATATATTAGTATAGTATCTACTTTGCAGTGGTTGGTACAGAATCTAGTGTGACACAGTATGTAGTACAGAATAGCCTATAGAACGATACAGTATCAGTATAATATAGCAACAGTAAGGAATAGTAGGTGGTATCACTCTAGTACACACGCAGTAGTAGTATGAGTGTTAAGTCATTCTGTACTTGGCTGACATCCTCGCAGACAGATCATCTGAAAGCTACAAGTGGCTGGGGGATGCAACTTAGTGAGAGACTGCTTGCCAAGCATCATGCATGAACCCCTGGGTTCCATCCCCTGACAGTAAGTAAATAATAAATAGATAAATATAAATGCTGTGCATGAGCTCTTAGCCTACTTTTGATCTCAAGTTCATCAGATATAAGTAGGGCTCACTGCTGCCTTCTTACCTGGTTGTGAAGCTTTTCGTGACCGGTAGTATTTAGCACAGTAGATGGCTAGTGGTTGTTTTCTGTTAATATTCATGCATACAAACACACAGAGAAAGAAGTGGCCTTGCTTCATTCAGTGTACAACCCAACAAAGACCCTATCCTCACTTTCAAGGCTCAGAGAAATAGAGTCCTGCCTGTGGTCGCACATTTCGGGCGACAGAATACTGGGTTTGAAAACAAGTATAAGCCAGGTGGTGACGGCGCACACCTTTAATACCAGCACTAGGGAGGCAGAGGCAGTTGGATCTCTGTGAGTTTGAGACCAGCCTGGTCTACAAGAGCTAATTACAGGACAGCCTCCAAATCAATAGAGAAACCCTGTCTCAAACACCCAACCCCCCCAAAAAAGAAAATGAGTATAAGAGTCACATACACACACACAATCTGCAGGAGACACATCTCCTTAGATGTTCCTTGGATGTCTGAAACTCTAGGTAGGACTGACTTCTAAATATACTATTCCTTATCTCACACACATACATATGACAATACCCAGTTTAGGCACAGCAGGTTAGCAACAGTAACTAATAGCCAAGGGGAATAACTGAATAATATGCTATGATAAACATTACTTACAGCCTACAAATTCTTCCTTTTTGGAATTTTCCATTTAGTATTTTTCAGGCCGTGGGTGAGCTGGGGTAACAAAAACTGTGAAGGGTGAAGTCGCTGATAAGAGTGTTCTCAGATTTCAGTTCAGTGTCTCTTTCGTATTTATTCTCTAGACTACCATACACACACCGGTGGCCATGGTCTAGCATGTTCTTAATGATACTTCAGTGAATACAACATGCCCTGAGTTTGTTTGAGCAATGTGACTAGCACCCATTGTACTTCCTTAGATATTACCGCTTGAATCAAGGCAAAAGCAGATAAGTACAGTTTCACCAAGAGATCCCACTCAAACAAAAATGTATGTCAACTGGCACAGAACAGACACAGCAAAAACAGTGCTCCAAGTTGTCTCATTCTCTCAGGGTGGGCAAAACTGGCTTTCCTAAGGGTCAGACACCATCCCAGCATCATGTCCTGTTTCCTCTCTGTATCTCTGGCTCTGTGCAGGGCATCATCTCCCATGCAAAGCCGCCTCTCCTTCCTTCAGGCTTCCTGGGAAGGGTCGTGTGAAGGGTTATCAGCCTCTGTGACCTCTTCAGTCATCAATAGCCTTCTGCCTCTCCCATCCCCCAGCAAAGACCTGCAGCAGAGCCAGCCCTCAGCTCTCCCCATTAATGCCTTTCTCTGTGTCCGGCTATCACAGGAGGGCTGTTGAGTGAGAGGACCTCTGGTTGACCTCTGCTGACAGGCTTGGAGCCCCCTCTGTCCACTGATCTAATGTCAGGCAGAGTAATTAGCCACTGCGTAGTAATTGCAGCTTCTAACGGTGCTGGACCAAGGATGCAAAAATCCCCTGGAGGAGCCCTGTCAGAGACCCCAACCCACACAGATGCAACTATCTGCTCACAGCAAAAAGGGAGGGATCAGCAACAATCCTGAAGGAGGCCAGAGCTTTTCAGGGATTAATTAAAGTGGGACTTGGGTAAGGACTTAGGGAGCTACAAAAGAAAATTGGTAAACAAAGGCAAGTGGCCAAGGAAGACATCTAGGGCTTGCCTGGAAAAACCTATTCAGGAAATACAAGCTCTCAAGATAAACAGATATGCGCAACGAAGTTTCATCTCAGCCTCAGAAGGAATGTGGGAATTAGCCTTAGGGAAGCATCAGTAGGTGATGCAAGAGGCAGGACACCCAGCATAGGATTGCTTGACCTACCTTAACCCTTCACCCATGTCTATTTCTATCACTACTTCAACTCAAACATGCAGCATTGTTCACCTTAAAAGATGCTTCATAGCTGGGCAGTGGTGGCACAGGCCATTAATCCCAGCACTCGGGAGGCAGAGGCAGGCAGATCTCTTTGAGTTCGAGGCCAGCCTGGTCTACAGAGTAAGTTTCAGGACAGGCTCCAAAACTACAGAGAAACCCTGTCTCAAAACACAAAACAGGAGGAGGAGGAGAAGCTGCTGCTGCTGCTGCTGCTTCAGAGTCAGCAGAACTGAAGCATCTGGAGTTTATGCATGAGTATTCTGCCAGACTCCAACAGGCCACCTCCTCTACCGGTAACATGGTTCAGGGTAACATACAGAGTCCCTTCTAAGAAATAAAAAGGCAAACCTCCACACACAGCAGCAAGCCCTTAATGGGATTCAAACTTAAACACCTTCTCCCTCTAACTGGACAGTGAGTGTTACCTCCCCGCCCATCAGCTCCACCATCAGCCTTGTGAAGTGTACAATGGCCTCCACCTGCTTTTTGCTCTAAATTTCCTGAAGTTGCTGGTACCCAAGAGAACTGCTGGAAGTCTTTCCCTGAAAGAGGCAGAAGGTTCAGAAGTCATAGCAGATTCCCATGTAGACAAGATTTCCCACCTAAGTACTCCATGGACTTCAAATTTCCTTTCCCCGCCACAGTACTGTCTGGTTTCCCAATGTATTCAGGACACCTCTGGGTTGAATCCAGTTACAAAACCCAGGGTAGCAGCAGCAGATTGCACGAATTCCCCCTTCATTTGCTTCCCCAAACAATTAATATACTTAATAACTCTGGCCCCCACGACAGAGTCCTCAGATGCCCCTCGATTAACCTCTCCCCGCTATGAGCAGTGGGCCTCCACCAGCATTCTTCTGCTCCCGATCACTCAGTCATTTTTTAATCCGCAACAAGGACTCCGTGCCATACTGTGGTTTTGTTCTCTCTTAATCTTTTATGAGGGACCTTATGAAAAGCTTTTAGAAAATACAAGGGAATTTTGCCTACCAGGTCATCTTTATTATTTTAGAATTCTTTATGAAGAAATTACAGAGCTTAATGTTGTAAATGAATATTTAAAACTCGGCATTCGCTTAGACATGCAGGTCTGACTCAGGTTATATTTAAGTCGCTGTATTATCTCCATCTTTGGAAATATTGCTGTCTGCCTACAACGAAAGAGTGAGTTTCTCACCCTGACCCTAAAGGATGGCAATTCCTGCAAATGCCCAGAACCTTCTGGGTCAGGGAAAAAAAAAAAAAAAAAAAAAAAACACATACTGAACACCAATTGCACATACCCATTCCAGTGACTTTTGACCTATTACTGTTCAAAAGTCACTGGGTCCAGGAAGGCCTCCAACCTTTTCTAGCTTTTCCCAGGACAGTGATAAGTAAACAGCTGGCAAGCACATCTGCAGGGAGCCAGCCACAGCTTGACAATGGCACAATCTCTGTCCCTCTTAAATACATGTTCATTGTGCAACCAGCTCATCTCTGCACTCTGGGGTAGGTGTCCCCTAGTGGGACAATTAAAGATGTACAAGAGGACGTGGTCTCTTTTTTTTTTTTGTCATATAAAAATTATTTTCTTGGAATGTCTAAACATAAAACATTTAGTTAATTAAATATGCATCTTCTTTAAGACCTGGGCTAAGAGAGCTCTTTTGGAATTCTGGAATTCATTTGAAAGCTTTCCTATCAAGTAAACCAGAGGGCTAAATGACTCTAAGTCATACCAGCACATCATCCTTATCAGCAAGGGACTCCATAGCCTTCTTGATCCATGTCTCTGCTTATAAAATTACACTTAGCCCAATGCTTTGCTTCAATAACTAAAACTGTAACTAGGGTCCTGAATTATAAGGCCAGATGAGATATGCCTGCCACTTTCCCAGAACATGAGTTATAGCAAAACTGACAAGTTCCAGGAAATAGTCTATGGAGTAAAGAGTATGTTTGCATTAGACCACCTAAGTTAATCCATCATGGGACACCTATGAGGCACCACAGCCAGTGAGATGGCTCAGTGTGCAAAGATGCCTGCTGCCAAACCTGACCACCTGAGTTCGAGTCCAAGGGCCCGTACAGTGGAAGGAGAAAACCAACTCCCCACAAGCTGTCCTCTGGCCTCCATACATTTGGCATGCCACATGTACGCACACACATTATCTTATAAATTGAATAAATGAATAAATAAATAAATACATAGATGGATAAAATGAAGTGTGGGCTATTTTTAAAGTGTCATCTAATAGAACTGCCCAAATTCTGTTTTTACCACACTCCTCTCTGCTCCTGACGCCCTAGAGGGCAGAACTGGAACTGCAAGTCCAGGAGCCCCATTATGGCAAAGAAGCAGTTCAGCCTGCTCTTAATGAGCTCTTGTAAGGAAGCAGGAAGTCTATAAAGTAATTTAAATAACTTCCAGTCCTGAAATAAAGGAAATTAAACCGCTGGCACAAACCTGTCTGATGGACAACTTCTTTGTCCCTCGGATCACATCCACAGTCACAGCTGTCATAGGCCTCTTCCCAAGGCCAGCCCCCAAATTCCTCTCCTATGAAACACACAAAGGCTGTCAGTCCTCACGGCTCTCCCAGCCTCTGCAGAGACCCGAAGCCAGGGATGTGGTGTGGCAGGCAACAAGCACACAGGAATCAGCCCATGAACCCCGCACGGGGTACTCTGGCACTCCCCACTGTCGGACCTCTGGCAAATCACATCACTCCAAGAGGCTTCGGCACATCAGCATGACACAGGGAAGGCCTGGATCTGGCCACAGGACCTCTAAAATTGTAAGAGGGTCAGATGAGAACGTTGCAAATTAAAGGCAAAGAAATGCTGGTATCGTTTGAGCCACCCAGGGCCCTCCGGCCCCGAAATTTCTCAACCTTCTGCTCAAGAAGCCCCGTCCTACTGTGGCTTTCCTCCTTACTAAGAATGTTTATTCTCAGTTTCTTCTGAGCCCTTAAATGCAGGTAATTATTTGCTTGGATAATGGTTAGTCCTACTGGACATTGTTTTCCTACAGGCAGAGACAGTGGCCTTTCATCTTCTAGAAACCAGTGTGACCAGAGCACCAAGCAGATCCTTGATAAAGGGTTGGACTCCACCACCCCCATGGCTACCCAGACAGTCACCAGATACCAATATGCTACCAATGAACCCTCAACTATTCACAAAACAAGGCAAATCTCTTAACAAGGTGAGACCAGTAACCCGATGTGAGTCTACAGGGAGGGCGCCAGAATGGGGGTGCTCAGGACCTCTCTCTGCAAACAGCCCCAATTTCCCACCTGCAACCCTGCACCCACTGCTGTGGCCATGGCAGTATCACCTGATGAATCTAAGCTGCCAGATGATAGAGGCTGTTCTGGCCGTAGACTTAAGTTTACTTTCCTGATAACAATCAACCAGGTATGAACTAGTCTGACCAGTACTGTGGACACAGGATCACTACAAAGACAAACTTAAAAGAAGCTTAAGATCCCTTTCGTTCCTCTGGTCCCATAGCTGCTGTTACAGCCAGTCTGTGAAGCCTCAACTCCTCTGTAGGAAAAGCCAAGAATGAGGCAGGACTGTCTTCATAGACAAAAAAGTTGCCACTTTCTGTGCAGAAAGGCAAGATGCCTTGAAAGAGAACCATGGTTCTTACTCAAAAAGAGACCCAACCAAGCCCCCTTTGAGAAAGGAAATCACCAACAGAAATCCAGCTTTGCTGTTTAGAAAGACCCTGGCACAGCGGGTCTCATATTACAGCTTTGTTCTTCCTGATACTGATGCCAGGGCCCTGGAGAACAATCCTGAGCTTCACAGACTCCATGTGAAGTCACTCTGTCACCCCAACAATTTCTGCAGGTGTACAAGCTCTGTTCCACACCATGGTAGCTGTATTTTGATGCCTGTGTTGCTTGCTGATAACCGTGTATTTTGTTTTTGTTCTGTTTTTATGTTTGGTGGGTTTTGTTTGTTTGTTTTGTTTTTGATGCTGTGGATTAGACCCAGAATCTCATGTATGCTAATCACCACATCATAGCATTCTTAATACCACTGAAGAATTCATGGTGACATCTGGTTCGGGGCCTGTGTAACCTGCATGATTGCATTCAGAGGGTCCAGGGGGCCTGTTTGAGCAATCACTGTCTTTCCTTAAAGGTCTCACAGGTTGAGCAACAGTTGTCCTTTACCCTGGAGGGCTGCTGAAACTCTTGAGCAATACCGTTCCCTTCCAGGACTTCCCACAGTCCTTGCACACCAAATGACACTCACATCTCCCAAATATGGGGGTAGCTAGTCTCCTGGCCATAGTGTGGCCATAGCTGGAAAGGATGCAATCTGAGGACAGTCTGTCTAAATTAGCTTAATCCAAGAAGCAAATACAGATTGTTTACCATGAAATCATTCATAGGACTCCCAACTACAGAAAAACCTGACTTCCCACCAAGTCCACCGACTAACAAGCCCAAGCTATGCTTCATCTAAATCAGGAGTTCTCAACCTTTGGGTCATGATCCCCTTGGGGATCAAAGGACCCCTTCACAGGAGTTGCCTAAGACCATCAGAAAACACAGATATTTACATTACAATTCAAAACAGTAGCAAATTACAGTTATGAAGTAACAATGAAAATAACTGTATGGCTGGGGGTCAGCACAACATGAGGAGCTATAGTAAAGGGTCACAGTGTTACGAAGGTTGAGAACCACTGATCTAAATCCTTCACCTAAAATGGAAGCCACAGAGGCAGGCATGATGGCTGATGCCTGTAATTCCAATACTCATGGAGGCTGAGGCAGGAGGACTGCCATGAGTTCACATGCCAGCCTGGACTACATTTCAAAATCGTGTTTCAAAAGCAAACAAATATAGGAGCTACCTATGTAATTGTAAATTTCCAAATAATCACATTTTTTTTTTAAAGAAGGAAGCAGGACAGTAAGGTGGATGGTAATACAGCTTATCTACCCATTATCTATCATCTGATCTCAAATGTAATCAATCCAGATTTTATTAAGGTGTGTGCCCTCCTTTTTTGGGTAAAATATGAAATGTGTTTTATGCTCTCAGAACAAACTTCCTCGTGCTTGGTGACCACATCTGACCAGTGGCTTCGGTACTATGTGACTGAAGACTGTAGGTGAGATCTCAGACCCCGACTCTATTTGGCCTCTCTGTAATAGTTCATACTATTCGAGACTCTTCGCCACAACATTCACAACTATAGTTGGATGACAAGGTCCAAAGTGAAGCTTGCTGGTGCTAGAGTGACCAGATTCAAGGAATCCTGTGCAACTGTCTGATTATATCTAAGAGCAGATGGTCCAGAAGAAACCCTGGGGTTTCATGAATTGAAACCCTCATAACCCTGTATGTCCTTAAGCACATGGAACTAACTGTGTGTGGCCACAAAGCAGACTGGGATGTTGCCTGTGACCAGAGATGCTTTCCTTACTACCTAACTCATGATCACACCAGATCACTCTGCCCTAGTCACGCCAAGTTTGATATAACACATACAAAATGATGAAACATACTCAAATGATCAACTGAAGTTGTTCCTTAGGTAATCTTAAGATACAGAGACACAGGAAAACTCCACAGGCTTTGTCAACTCAGTCCAGGGCTGGGCAAGACCGGCTCAGGCCTGACCACTCCATCTAGTCCTGCACAGAATGAACTCCATGCTACTGAGAACCAACAAAGAAGATATGGACCAGCCTTCCAGTGCCAGGCAGGAGGAATCCCTCGGGAGGCTGCAGCACACGCCTGCAACTCTGGAGGGGGCCCATTTGCTTTATACCATCAACGCAGGGTGCATCTCTCTCTCTCTCTCTCTCTCTCTCTCTCTCTCTCTCTCTCTCCCTCTCTCTCTCGCTCGCTCTCTTCTCTCTCTCTCTCTTTTGAGACAGGGTTTCTCTGTGTAGCTTTGGAGCCTATCCTGGCACTCGCTCTGGAGACCAGGCTGGCCTCGAACTCACAGAGATCCACCAGCCTTTGCCTCCCGAGTGCTGGGATTAAAGGCGTGTACCACCAACGCCCAGCTCTGTGCATCTCTTTTCTGAATCTGACTGACCCCATCTACCAGAGCTCATGATCTGATCTAGAAAGCATCACTGGCAAGCTAAAGCCTCCTCAGTCCAGACTGGGCTCTAAGAGCAGGGCAATCAGGGAGAAACGGAAACACAGAACACCGCTCACTCTGGCTCCCTGTTCTGGCTGTAGGCAAGAAAAGGTGTGCTCGAAGCTTTGGAGCGGGCCAAGGCTGGGCTTTCTTCCCAGAACCCCACGGGGGACAGAGCTGTTTCCCAACCTTCAGATTCAACGCACTGCTTTGGAACAGGTGGAGGGGCTCACCCAACTATGAATCCTGAACAGGAACAAAGAATGAGGATCACTGTGTGTCCACACTCAACAACATACTCAACTCTCCCATCCACAAGGGTCCCTAAACCTGTCCCCAGGGCATCAAAGTGAGGGACAAAGAGCATGTGGAGAAGGGAGGAAGGAGGCGGCTCTTGCTGGTGAGCCGATGGGTGTGAGTGCTGAGTATTAATTAAAAGCCATCTGGGAACAATGGGCTTTTCATACTTGGAGCCCGCTCTGCACAAAGCTCGGCTTGTTCTAAAGGAGGACTCTCCTTTGCTTTTTTTTTTTTTTTTTTTTTTTTTTTTTTTTTTTTTTCCTTACTCATTTCCTAGGGTTGTGGCAATGTCTGGCACCCAGCTCAACCCACTGGAGTATCCTTTAACCAGAAGACGTGCCAGGCCAGCCTAGTCCTTGACTGCCTAATGGCCACATGCAGACACCAGAAGGGACAACTGCAGGAAGCTGGTCTACTCCTACTCCAGCCCATGGCTTCCAAGGCTCCTGGGTGTTTCCCTACATAGCTGCCTGGCCCATAGGAACACACTGGGCATCTGCAGAGGCCCAACACCCATGTCCTTCTCAAATTACACTGCATGTACCACACCCAGTAGACACAGGGCATGGAATCCTGAGTCTAACTGTCCAACCAATAGACACTTGAAGGCAGGCCTAACTGGGAAAGGAGGGCAGACAAATGTCAGCTACTGAGATGACTCCCTCTTCTACATTCTGACTGATTCCCAGAGTCTCTACTAAGCAGCACAGATTCCTCCAATGGAGACCTTTTTTTTTTTTTTTTTTTTTTTTTTTTTTTTTTTTTTAAATTCAGGATGGGATTTAGGAGGAAGAACCAACAATGACCATCTAAGATGTTCCTGACAGTTTAACAAACCATGACCTCACTTAACATCCTAGCAAACAGCATCTACAGGAAACCAGCCCAACAGCCCACCTCCTTGCATTCATATCCTGGGTAATCCTTTCTCCCCTGGACATGAGAGAGTGACCAACTTCTCCCCACCAACAGAATGCAAACAGATAGGGCAGATGCTACAGGCTGTCACTTCTGAAATGAGGTTACAGAAGCCAAGTGCCATGTCAGAAGCCTCTCTGGACAGGGCAAGGTGCCCTTCAATGAACAGTCAACAGGGTCTTTGCCTGAAAGCCCTAGAGGAACTGTGACCTATCAGCACCTAGAGTGAGCTCAGAAGTGGGTCCTTCCCCAGTCAAGCCTTCAGATGGGACAACAGATCTGTACAACCCTTGCTCTGTAGCTTACAACACTGTAATTCTCCTGCTTCAGCCATCCAACTGCTAGGATTATAAGTGGTGCCCAGACCACACCTCTGATTTACAAAAGAAAAGCTAAACTTTGTGATAAGTGGCAGCATGGGATTGTCACACAGACCACACTTGATGGTTGCTTTCTGGTCACGTCTTATTCAATGCAGTTATTAAGTTACCTGAAAATGGAAAGGTACCAAGTTGCCTCAGAGTGTGAAGGCTAAAAGTAACTTCCATTCCCTAGTCAAGAAACTGACACCCAAAGTCAGGGACAGAATTTGGTACCAATTATGTCCCGTGGCCACCCAGAAATCTAGGAGGCTCCAGGAAAAACATGCCAACCACAACCACAAAAACGCCACTTGCAACCTTCCTACACCCTTTGGCACACACAATGGCTGATCTCCAGATGTTCATACACAGACTTGTTCACGTAAGAGTGGGGAAGATGCCATCTGCACAAAGGCACATCCCCTGCTCATCTTTACTTTAAAATCCAGGCAGACAACACAACCATTCCTACTCAGAGAGCCAACCTAAGCAGAGAGGCTCTCCAGGCCTGCTTATCACTAAGACTTCCGTTATTTTTACAAACACATACCACAGATGCTTACAGTAAACATCATAAATAATTAAAGTTAAGTAGCCTACGGGCACTCTGTGTAGTGTTCATACTGTTTAGGTTTTCCCTAATTCACAAAACTGAACCATCTGCAACAGGCTTCCAGACACAACCACAGACCAGTGCTACTCAAATGATTCTACATTCTTACTAAGTTGCAAACATTTTTATTTCTATGCTATGTAAGTAACAGAAGCTGGGCTCATGCCTGTCATCCAGTACTGGGAAGGCTGCTGAATATAGCCAGCCTGGAGTAGTGAGTTCTAGGTCAGCCTGGGCTATAGATGGAGAGGCCACCTCTCAAATCACAAGTAGTATAGACAAGATGGTTTCTATGCTCCTATCCCTGAAACCCAAAGGTGAAAAAAGACAACTGACTCTACAATGTTGCCCTCTGACCTCACCTGTGCAGTGGCATGAGCCAGTGTGAGGGAGCGCACACACACATTTAAAATAAAACAAAAAGTAATAGACATTAACTTGTTTGGAGTTCAAAAAAGAATATCAAAAGTGCCTAAATGGGGAGCTAGAGAGAGAGCTCAGCAGTAACAGAACTGGCTGCTCTTCCAGAGGATTGGGGTTCAATTCTCAGCACCCACACAGCAGCTTATAGTCATCTGTAACTCCAGTACCAGGGAATCCCATGCCTTCTTTTGGGCTCCAAGGGTGCCAAGTACACATGGGGTCCACAGAGAGACATACAGGCAAAACACCCACACTAATTAAAAGTTTTTTAAGTAGCTAACATTCTAATACCTGAAAATAACTGCTCACTAATTATTTTTATATACATTGTAATCTTTAGCTTCTCCTTTATATGTATTTTTAATTAGACTGAAGTTCTAGAGCACACACAGCCTTCTGTTTAACTGATGTCAGCACAAAGACATCACATGAATGGGTGTCCTGATGTCACCCTTATGAAGCTGACACTCTACCAGGGAAAATGATTTGGAAAAATGAATTTTAGCACCTTTAATCCCCGCACTCAGGAGGTGGAGACAGGAAGACTTCTGAAAATAAGAAGCCAGCCTGGTCTACAAAGCTAGTTCCAGGGCAGCCAGAGGAACACAGAGAGGAGAGAGAAGACAGGGAAGAGGGGGGAGGGGAGAGATGGGGGGAGGAAAGGAGAGAGAGAGAGAGAGAGAGAGAGAGAGAGAGAGATTTCTTTAAATATATAGTTGGGTATGGCATAGTAGAGCACACCTTTAATCCCAGTACCCTGGAGGCAGAGGCAGATGGATCTCTGTGAGTTAGAGGCCAGCCTGGTCTACCTAGTGAATTCCAGGAGGAAACAGGAATCTGGAGTAGACAAGCTCCACACTTAAGCAAATGTTATAGTCAAGGCTTGTGACACACATGGCCAAGCTACTCCCTATAAAGCATATACTGACTTTTCTACCTATTCACCAGAACAGAACATGTGCCTTATAAAAACAACTAAATAAATTTTGGTTGAAAACCACAAAAAGGCCCCGCCTCACCCATAATCAAACAACTAAAGGTAATGAAATGCTAGTCATCTGGCTTTCTGAATGACCTGAACTAATTCTGGGTCACCCTTTTATGCTTGAGTCCCATTTTCTACCATCTTCAGCCATCTCCAATTTTTAAAACTCTTCGTATAGTGAAGATGTTGATGACAGCTTGTCAATTACATGAGCCATAAACATCTTTTCCCAGTTTGGCAGATACCTTTTAATTTTGCTATTAATGCCCACCATGTAGACTTTTGTAGTGTGTGAGGTCGGGGGCGTTAACGTACATGCGAATGCCAGCAGGCTGAAGGACAACTTTGGGTGTCACCCTGAAGAACATCATACACCTCCTCTGCAATGGTGTCTCTCGTTGAACCAGAAGCTCATCTATTCTGCTAGACCAGTGACCAGTGAGCACTGCGGATCCTCCTGTCTCTTTCACCCCAGCACCAATATAAGCATGTACCATCTATGCCTAGCAACTTCACACAGGTTCTGGGGAACTTAGTCAAATGCTTGCAAGATGAGTGTCTTACCAAACTGTCCACCCTCTGAGATTCTGTTTCATTTTACCATAGAGCCCAAGCTAGCCTCAAACTCCCTACACATCTCAATCTGGCCTTAAATTGGCAATCCTCAGTCTCCTGGTATTTTTTGAAGTCTAGCAAATCAATTATCACCTGTCCAAAATCCAGAAGTGCTAGCGTGAGAGTTCTGCTCTTGCGTGCATTCAGATGAACATGGACTTAAACACTTTCTGCTCTTTCATGATTAACCCCACCAACTCCAGTGGAGCTGACGATGTATATGAGGAGGAATAGTTGCAGTTTAAAGTGTCTAAAAGTGCAGCTGAAGAATCACAGAATACACCCACTGCAGTGTAAAAGGCCTGAGGCTGATGCACACAGCATGCCCAAAGATGTGCTATTAAGTAGCCACTATAGCTGATGCATATAGTCCGCTGGACTTGAGTCTCCTCAGTTGTAACGGGAGAAGTGCCTCCTGTATATTCTTCTCAAAAGGAATGAGTGAGCTAAATCCATGGAAAA